TTCCACACACCGTCGCCACCGCCCATCCAGCAGAACCCTACTAACATCACAACAACAGAACTAGCAAGGCAGGGTCTTCACCGCAGCGAAGCCTAGCGCACGGTGCTTTCCACACACCCTCGCCACCGCCCAACCAGCGGAACCTCACTCACTCACACTACAACAACATCGTAAGGCAGGATCTTCACCGCAGTGAAGCCTAGCGCACGGTGCCTTCCACACACCGTCGCCATCGCTCATCCAGCGGAACCCTACGCATTCCTCAACAAACTCAACCAACCCAACAATTACCAACTTCCACACAATCCAACAGAGGAAGACTCATCAAGAGCTCAATCAAGGAATCAACAACATAGTACAACACATGTACAAGATCATACCAAGGGACTCCTTCAAGGGGTTTCAATGAAAAGCATGAAACAATACTCAACAACAACAATGGACTTCAATCCAACATCAACATGATTGGCAACACAAGTTGCCAATTCTCATCCAGAAGGAACAAACAACACATACTAGTATAAACGACATCAACACTAGCATGCACATCAAACGGGTAAACCAAAATGGTTCCATCGAACCTTCAAGACTCATATTAGTCCAACGAATCACAAGGTTGGACCATTAGCACGATTCAATACACCAAATCCTAACATGGATTCCTAAAACATCGTTCTAAACATACGAAACATCAAGAAGACTCACAAAATTAAAGCTCAATAATCCAACAACGGGAGGTCAAAACATCAAGTACCAAAAGGAAAGGACCACGGGGAACAATTCCCCACAGTCACCATACATGTTCCCCGCGGGTGGGGCCACGGGTAGACCCCCACCCGTGGGCCTGCCCGCGGGTACACACCCTTCTCCACATTGTTCCCCGCGGGCGGGGTGGCGGATAGGCCACTGCCCGCCGTTCCACCCGCGGGTACACTCCTGTACACCATTTTTCCGGGGAAATTCATCAACAAAGCCAAGTTCAAGTTCAAAACACCCAAAATCTCGCACACAACAAAAATATGACTTGAACCAAAGAAATAGTCAAGCAATGGCATTCAAGAAACCTAAATACAAGCTCTAAATATGCATCAACACAAGATCATGCATCAAATCTCACAAATCACATCAAGAACATCAAATAGAAGCCAATAATCATCATTTAGGTAAGAAAATAGGTTTTGTATAGCATGGGTTACCACTTGTAGACCAAGAACACCTTCTTCAACCTCAAAGCAAGACCAAAGCTCCTCTAGATCAACCTAGCACTTCACCCACCACTAGATCTTCTACAAACTCCCAAAACCCACAAGGTAGAAGAAAGATTTAGAGAAAAGATGGAGGAATATTGTAAGGAAAAGGTAGGGAAGGATAGATCTTACCATTCCTAGCCTTGTAGTGTTGGAAAGTTGGAATCTTGGCTTGGGATTCCTTTAAGAACTTGTGAAGATGAACCCTAGGATTTCCTAGAGAGAAGGAGGAGTATGGAGCAAGAAAGAGATGTAGAGAGAAGGGGAATCCTGAAAAATGATTTGGATTCCTTGGTTAGGGTAGGGTTTTAGTGCTAGCATTGTGTGAAATGACCAAAAGGGCTCCTTCCTCCCAAAACTTGTTAGGAGAAAGACAAAGTCTGAGGTACAAGGGCTAAAGCCCAAGGTACAACTCATTGACCAAATTAGAAGGATAAAGAATTTGGTCAACTAGGTCCTTTAACTAATTTCAAAAGGAAATTAGGATAAGAATTGTAATGCCACAAGGAATTAATTCGGGATTAAGACACAAATTTCCGGGGTGTCACACTAATCTCCTGATTGGAGTTCTTTGTCAATTTCAACTCCTTGATAAACCGTAAAATTTCCCCACATTGTGAAAATGATAGGTTTAAGCCTAGGAGATTAATAAGGAATTTATAAAGAAATTAGTAAGGAATTTATAAAGAAATTAGTAAGGAATTTATAAAATCATGACAAACTTAGTTGATAGATGTTACCACTACAAGAAAAATCGTGAATCGCGACGGAAAATCGCGACGGAATAATTTCCGTTGCAAATTAACGACGGAATTCGCGACGGAAAGTAATTCCGTCGCGATATTTGGCGCAAAGAGAAAATAAAACCCGCGAAATCTTGGCGGTAAAATATTTACGACGAAATTCGCAACGGATGTAAGTTACGTCGTCTATTTAGCGACGGAAAGGCGACGAATTTACTTTCCGTTGCGAAATAGCGATGGAAATTGCGACGGATTTTATTCCGTCGCCAAAGGAAAGATTTTTTTTTAAATGAATAAATATTGCGACGGAATTAACTATGGAATTTATTCCGTCACAATTGTGTTTTTTATGTTACTCATATTCTCTATCTCATTTATTTTATTTTATTTTATTTTTAATAAAATATTAATGTACCTTCTGTTCCTTGTGTTAGCATGCAATTCACTGGAGATGGTACTGAAGATTCTGAGCTTGAAATGCTAAATTCTCCCTCTTTAGGAGAGGTGGGACGCAGATCACTTCCTTTAGGCATTTTTCATGCTCTCAACTTTTGCTGAGAGTTGATTCTGACAGCATGCTTCTTCATCATCAACTTTTGCTGAGAGGTGATTCCTGCTCTCAACTGGTGTTGTGGAGGAATTGTTTGAAGAGGGATCCGCAATGCTTGCAGAACGGTATGTCTTATGCCCTATCATATCAACCCTGATCGAATATTTGTTAGTTGGATTGTTTCACTTATTCGGTTATTCCTCTGTTTTGTGAGTGAAATGTTAGAGGCTTTTATTTGCCTAGGTATGGCTTATATGCATCTTTTCACCTTTTGGATTTAATGTGGGGTAAATTGATCTGTGCAGGAATTTTAACAAATATCAGCAAATTAAGTATAAAAAAACACATTAAAGTGAAGTTTTTATCCTTAAAAAAAAAAAAAAAAACACACACACACACACACATTAAACTGCAATTCATCTAAAACCAACAATGGAAATAAATAGAGGGAAGTAAGAACCTGAAGGTGGCGGAGAAGAGATAACAGATGGTGGAATAACAGACTAAAATTTTAGAGAAAGAAACAAATAAAATGATGGAATTATTTTATGGTGTCTTCAGTGTCCAATGAAGCAGTTTAAATAACTAGATACATCCTAACATCAAGCAACATTCCAAAACTAAATAAAGCAATAAAATAGAAATAAATCAAGAAATTCTTAATTATAGACATAATCATAGCAATTAAGAAAAAGGGGTAATGAAATTCCTCTTAATGTAACTACTCAAAGCAAGCAATTTTGTATATAGGGCAATGAATTTTTAATGATAAACTTATTCGTTTTTTTTTTTTAGTGCACAATCATAAACTTATTCTGATTTCTCAAAGAAATATCGAAAACTTTTAGGAGTTCTTTTTTTTTTTTTTTAAACCATTCTATTTCCTATCGATGCTCAAAATTAGGTTTAATTGTTGTAAAAGGATTTTCAATTTTAATTAATATAAAATTAGTATTTATTGATATGAAATTACATATTGCTTAATTAGACGTAATATTGGTAATGAGGGACTGTAAGGAATTAGAAGGAACTGTACTAAATTACAGTGCCTCACCATCAAGGACTGGCATTAAATTATTTGAAATTAACAAAAAAAAAAAAAATAATTTACCTTAGACTGGATTTGGAAGAAAGAAGGCAGAAGTAATTCCACTTAAATATTGAGACGCAATTCATGTTCATACCTATTGAATGTCGTTGATTGCAGCTCTTATTCCCGAGGTTGAGAAAGTAATGAAGAGGATTTCACTGATTGAGATCCCAATTGGTGGTATAGTATGACAGATGGGTAATCAAAGATGAGCGGATGATTGATTGGAGGAATCTGCGGATAAGAGGCAATGAAAAATGAGCGGATGAAGGGTGGGAGGAATTTGCGTAGAAATTGAGTGAAAGATTATTGTGATGAATATCCCGGTAATGTATTATAAAATAAATAAGATAAAGCGGAAGAATTATAGGAAATATGAAAGGAAAATGAATGGATGAAAACGATTTAGGTTTTTTTTTTTATATATTATATTTAACGGTTTTGTTAACAGTAACAGAATATTTAGATATTTTTGTCAATAAAAAAGTATTGTCCAACATTAAGAATACAATGTACAACAAAGCAGTTAAAAAAGGGACAAAAATCAGGTATAACTATCATTGAAGCTTATTATGTTTTTAGATTAGATATTTAAAAATTTCATTAAAAGTACTATTAAATTCAAAAAAAATAAAAAATAAAACTAATAAAGACAATAAGCAAAGAATAAAGAGTTTGTTAATCAATAAATAGTATTATACTTTCTATTTTATGATATAAAGTATAATACTAATCAGGGATAAAATGATTGTATTTATAAGGAAAAGTATGATATTTTGTGGGGTTGAAGGATTACATATTGTAATACTAATTATTGGATAAATTAATTTATAATATAAGGGATATAGATGAGGGAAAGTGTAATATTTATAGTTAATTTCAGTTTTTGTCCTTTCAGTCACTCTTTTTAACCCCCCCTGTTAGTTCTCGTATTATTGTGGAATGATAATTTTTGGTCATCCGCCAACAAAGTTGTTAAAATTTCATAAAATACAGGACCATTTAAGTCTTCAATTATACAATTTTTTAATAAAATAAAAATAAAAATATGGCGGATCAACCTAATTTGTATAATAAAAAAAAAATCAAATTGTCTTTATATTTAAGAACATTTCAACAATTTTGTTGACGAAGGACCAAAAATTATCCTGCTACAATAATACTAGATCCAAAAAGAGGAGTTATGAAAAATGACTTAAAATTAACTATCACTTATAAAACAAACATATAAATTAAATGACAAAAAATATAATTCTTAAAAGGACACACTTGACCCGTATTCTTAGTGCAATTTACTTCCTTTGTTGGCTATTACATGGGATAAGTTTACCCGATACATATGCGGTTTTCCCATATACAAAAAAATAAAAAATAAAAAATAAATATGATCAACAATGGCTGAAGAATCCTCAAAGGATAGACGCATATATGATGCGCTATCAGAGATTATGCGATGATCAGCATATTTCATTAATCATCACTAACTGGAATGGAAGGCAATCAAACGTGAATTTTTACAGCTTTCACGCTTATTGTTAATCCTGCGTTCATGCACTCTGATTCAGTACTCGCTGTACGCGCCAATATCTTGCTTAGGATGTAGAATAGACAAAAGACGAAAATGAAAGCTTGGTTGGCGCCTAGGTTTGCTGGGAACGGTTGTTGCGGTTACTTGGGAGATAAAGATCCAAGAGTTCAAATCTGAGTTTGTTACTTGATTTTTATTTTGTTTGTTATTTGGAGTAAATTCCAGATGACTATAAATTGGAGTATGATTTGTAATTGGATGGTTTTTGGGATTCAATACAATTTTATCAGATTTCTCTATCTCTCTCATCTAAAAATCTCCCAATTCTCCCCCAATTTCTGCCATTCTCTTCTCCATTTTCTGCAATTGCTCTCTTCTGCCTGTTTTTTCTTCAAATTATCAGGTTTATTCATTATAGTTGTAATGGAGGATCGCTTTAGAAGCTTGGAGGCTCAAGTCGTCGAACAAGGAAGCAAGATAGATTCAAGATTACAGTCCGTGGAAGCAAGATTACAGTCCGTGGAAGATACGATCCAGGAGTTCAAATCAGAGATGTTTGCACAGTTTGCTGGCTGGAAATCTGAGATGACCGAGCTACTGCGGCAGAATCGACCACCATCCCCTGTAATAGATCCATCTTCTGCACATGGGCGGGGTCAAACAAGCCTTCCGAATCAAGGGGAAGGAAGCCAAATGCCTGGAAGGAGACCGGGAAAGGAGCCTGCAGTGCAGAATGACCCTGAGAATCCTGAAATTGTGGTGGAAGATGAGGGCCTAGGGGAAAACACCCATGCATTTCAGATTGGCCAAAGGGTTGATGATCTGGATTGGGCTCCAAGAAGAGGCAATTTGGAGGTTAGGCAGCAAGCTCAGGGCCATGGAGGTGACAATTTCACGAGGTATAAACAAGACTTCCCTCCTTTTGACTATGATCAACCCAGATTATGGGTTGTGAGGTGTGAAAGATTTGCTTGCTAGAATTCCTGGAGACGAGATATTGAATGTTTTGTGTGTGAACTTAACTGGTAGAGCAAGAATTTGGTTTGGAAGTTACCTAAATGGTTTGAGGGTGGGGTTTCAGTGGTCTGCTTTTGCCGAGGCCATCTGTAAAAGGTTTTGTGAGAACAGTATGGATGTGATGGAAGAGTTCTCTAATTTCAAACAAATTGGAAGTGTGACTGAATTTGCTGTTAAATTTGAGGAGTTTAAAGGCCTTTTGCTGCAAATTTATCCTTGTTTAAGTGATCAATACTTCTTAGACAGTTTCATAGTTAGATTAAAGCAGCAACTGAGGTATTTTGTGAGAACATCAAGGCCTAGGAACCTTGAGGATGCTATGTGGATGGCCAAACAGTTTGAGTTAAGTGAAGGTGATGCTCCTTGCTTGGTTGATAATGACATGCGGAATGATAGTTTACCATTTCTTGTTAATTTGGATGAACTTAGTTATATTAAGGAAGAAGTTGATGTTGAAGTTACTGCTAAGAATGAAGAATTATTAACCCATGTTAATCCCGTAGTGATATATGATGAAAGTGATAAGGACAGTGATGATGGCTTAATAATAATTCTCTGATGTACAAATGGAGAAGTCAGTAGTTGTTGAGGGTGAAATAATGAAAAACTCACATATCCCTAGTATGTCCTATAAACTGTTGGTGAAACAAGAAGAATTGATTACAATGATTGAGAGTAGTAGGAACGACCTAAACTTCTCTTTGGCTGTCTTTGTTATTGGAAAAATTGGAGTTGGCAAGAGTGCTACTATAAATTCTATTTTCTATGAAGACAAAGCAGTGACTGATACATTTAAACCTGCCACAACCACTGTGAAGGAGATGTTTGGGACATTGGAGGGAATCATAGTTAGATTCTTGGACACTCCCATTCTCAGATCTTCCATACCAAAACAAATATATAACCAGAAAGTGATGCTGTCTATAAAGAAGTTTGCTGAGCTTGAACCAAAGAAGTAGCAATTGGGGAGGATTATCATGTCATCCTTGGGGAAAAGGATCTATTAAAGGAAAAGAAAGCAGCAGACCCGACCAGCAAAGATCACAACTTGGTAGAGGAAGCATCAGACCAGCAGGGCAGAAAGCGGTGCTGTCTCCTTGGGGCCGATAGTTTGTTGCAGATTTGTTCTTACATATTTCCCTTCTTTCTAGTATAATAGGGAATAGATTGTACTGGAGTATTATGCTTGGTTTATACTTGGGATTAGTACCAGTTTTCTCACTTTCTCTACCCCTTCTTCTCCCTAAAATCTCCCTATTCCCTGCTATTTCTCCCTTCCTCTTCTGTTCTGCTATTTCTCCCTCTCTTTTTCTGTTCAAGCCCCAGGTTCATTACACCGTTATCTCTTTCCGGGCCATCCGAGGCGGATCTTCAAAGAAATGCAGAACTCGAGAAGGTGATTCCTTTCAGTTTTATTTCGATGTGAATAAGATTTTGGATAGTTTAGGAAATACTAAATGATGTAAATTTTTTATAGTTTTATTTGATGATTACTGTTTTCTTCTTAAAATTTGGGCTTGAATATGAACTGACTATGCGTTGACTCTTGATTAATTGTTAGTTTTTGAGGGATTCAGGAGTATACGTGAAGGAGGAAGAAGCTGCAATGAGAAAAGAGGTGCTATGCAAGCTTGATCAGGTAATTAATTTTGTGATTAATTGTAGTAATTAAACTATATTGAGTTCATATTTCTAATACCACTATTGCTCCATCTACAATAGTGTTATATTCACTTTTAATTCTTGATCGTTATTCTGATCAAGCTATGGAGTTCTTGTGCTTTCTCTTATGATATTGAGTTCATTTTGCTTCCTATTATCCTATATATGCACTTCTTTATATGCATCTACTAGTTAATACAACTTTGCTCCATCTACTATAGGTGTTATATTCACTTTTAATTCTCAATTGTTATTTTGATCAAGTTCAGTATGAAATGTACAAAACATCATAACACATGAAAGGGTGGAGTGTCCATAGAATGAGGGAACTTTGAACTAAATTTTGATGCTGTGGATGTGATTTTGTAGATTGTAAAGCGCTGGGTGAAGCAATTGGCCCGCCAGGGAGGTTACACAGATCAAATGGTGGAAGATGCAAATTCTATAATATTCACTTGTGGATCTTATCGGCTTGGAGTAAGTCAACCAGTTCATACATTAGGATAGAAGCCATGATATTTTGTAGCTTTACCCTTAAGTTTCTCTACATTTCATTTCTAATTTTCTTCTGGGGATGCATCTGAAGTCTTTCTGATTCGTTGGTGTATAAAACCTTCACTTGTTAATAGCTGCTGTTTAAGATCCTGGCTACAATATAAAGTCTATGACAAGATTAAATTCATCACAGTTACAATGACAAGAATTTCACTATGTAAATTGTAGTTTGAAAAGGTTTTCGTGTATGAAGTGTAAAATGTGATTAGATTTCAAGTACAGAGCTAGATTTTTGCAGTTTACTCTCTCTATTGGTATATTAGATAATAAGTTTTGGTTAATAGTCATTTAGGCATATTATGAAGTGTCTCTCTTGCAGGGTGAAATGGTTTCGGATAGTATAATCAATGCAATGTAGCATACTAAGTTGCCTTTTCAAGTATAATAAAAACCTCAATTCCCTTGATGCTATCAAATTTTGATTGTTTCCCTTAACACATTATGTGTTGGTGTTGATAAGTGATACTTCTTACAGGTTCATGTGCCTGGAACTGCCATTGATACATTGTGCATCGGGCCTTCTTATGTTAATCGGGAAGTGAGTTTCAAATTGTGGCCAACTTTGTGTAGTTCAATATGGTTACTTCTAGCATTGTTCAAAGAGTACTGCTTCTGTTTCTATCTACAGGAGGATTTCTTTACTATTCTACGTGATATTTTAGCCAAAATGGAAGAAGTTACTGAAATCCGGTGTGTCCTTGAAGCACATGTCCCTGTTATGAAATTCAAATTTCAAGGAATATCAATTAATCTCCTTTATGCAAGCATCTCTCTGATGGTTGTCCCTGAGGTAGGTTTGAACAAATTAAAGAATGTGTTTCATCTCAACTAAAAGCATAACAAAACACAATTTTTTTGCACTTCCACTTACTGAAGATTCTCTTGAGTCTTGTTTGATTCATCTTCCAATTTGGATATTCACCTTCATTACAAACATGATGTGATAGTAGAGCTGCTGACAGTATGTTTTACTTCTTCTCTGGAATGCCTACAAGACAATTTTCAGAATTTAGGAATCTGTTGTGGCTATAAGATATGAGCTCTGAAATTAAAAAAAAAACTGCTCATGTAAACCACTTAACTGAGTTTATACGCCCTATATTTTTTCAATTCAACAGGATTTGGACATTTCAGACTGTTCTGTGCTGTACAATATTGATGAAACAACTCTTCAAAGTCTCAATGGGTGCAGGGTTGCTGGTGAGCTTATGAAACTTGTTCCCAATGTTGAGGTAACAGCTTTTACCTCTGCTGGTTCATCTGATGATCATTGATTTCCATGTTATCTAATACTTTCTAAACTTGTAGTACTTCCAAATGACACTCAGAGCTTTGAAATTTTGGGCCAAAATCCATGTGGTTTATTCAGATGTAAGTTGATATTTCTTGATCTTTTTATGAATTTCTTTCCTGTTGCTCATTTCTGATATAAATACATTATTCTAAAGGCTACATAAGAGTTCAATATCATTTTTGCATGCCTTTTTTGCTCAAGGTGACTGGATTTCTTGGTGGTACAAGCTGGGCTGTTTTGGTTGCTCACATTTGCCAGCTTTATCCTAACGCAATTCCCAGCATGCTAGTTTCACGGGTTTTCAGAGTCTATACACAATGGCATTGGCCAAATCCTGTGATGCTATGCCCTATAGAACACAATGAGCTCAGTTTTCTTCCTTGGGATCCACGCAAAAACCCCGAAGAACAAACACATAGAATGCCAATCATCACTCCTGCATACCCTTGCATGAATTCCAGTTCCCATGTCTCAGCATCTACTCTTTCAGTACTGATGAGTCAGTTTCAGTTTGGCAGTGAAATTTGTGAGGTAAGTTGTTTAATTTCAATTTACTCTTATCTCTTTTCCATCCCCCTCCCTCGGCTGTAGATTTTGAGAGATTGATATTTTCTCTTTTACTGTTAAATTTAGGGCATTGAGTCGAGTGCTGCTCAATGGGATGCTCTTTTTGAGCCCTATTCTTTCTTTGAGGCATTCAAGGATTTTGTTCAGGTTGATATCGTTGCAGCAGATGATAATGACTTGTTAAGTTGGAAAGAGTGGGTGGAGTCAAAGCTTGTAGAACTTACACTTAAGGTGAACATTACTTTAATGCATAGCTTTTGGTGATTTTTTCACATTTAGTTCTTGACAAATACTAATTTCTTTGCATTTTGATATTGACTTTCATGGTTCTATCAAATTTAGTCCATGTCATATAATCCATCTTGTTAACTCCATGATCAAATCAGTAAATTTTGAATGTCACATCTCATATATGATAGAGAACGATTGTCATCAACACCATTAAACAATGATTTTGGCAATCGTTCTCTGTCAGATATAGGGGATGACATTCGAAATTTACAAATTTGTTCATAAAGTTAACAGCATGTCATATATTATATGACGGGGGGACTAAATTTGATAAAACTATAAAGTTAAAGGTAGAATGTGGCGAAATTATTTGTTGATAACTAAGATTAAACCTTGTATTAACTCAAATTCCAAAATATTCTTGAGAAATCTACTGGTGCTGCAGAAGCTTATGCTTCCCGTTTGATGTTTTGCAGATAGAGACTGTCACTAATGGAATGATGCACTCCCATCCTAACCCAAATGCTTTTGTGGACTCATCCAAGCCACACCCTCATTTTGCATTTTTCATCGGTTTGATGAGGAACCGAGAAGCAGCAAAAAGGCGACGGGTGCTTTATATTCGTGGGGCTGTGGAAGAGTTTAGACGCGAAATAAGTAGGTATACTTGCTTGAAACCAGGCATGGAAATCTCTGTCTCTCATGTTCTCAGGAACCAAATTCCTGCTTTTGTCTTTCCTGAAGGTCACACAATACCTTAGTGCACCTAAGAAACCTGTCTGAGGTCACACAATACCTTAGGTGTAATCTGTCACGGGGAACCAACAGAGCTACCGTAGTGCAATGTTCATTGTATTGGAACATTTCTTTTCTCTGTACAAAAGGAATACTTATCATGTGAAAGGAAGAATTGAAGCATATTTTCTTTGGATGGAATTTTAGAAATGTTCCTAATCATAATTTATCCAACTTTATAAAATATATAAAAACGGTTTCTCTAATTTTAAAAAATTTTAAACTACCTTTTTTCCTAAAATAAAATACTAAACAATTCATTTTTATACATGATGGGGTGTGAACCCCGTGGGCTCGGGCCCAAGAAGAAAAGAGATCAAGTCCAGAAGAAGAAGAGAAGCTCAAGAAGAAAATGGAGTAAGCCCAAAAATAGATGTGGGTCAAACCGATGAGTCGGCTCGACCCAGGAGTCGGCTCGACCCGGAGGTCGGCACGGGTAGGGGGTCGGTCTAACTAGCCGTTATTCCTACATTATCACCCTTAAAGTCCTATTTACTACCCCACCATTCCTAACCTCCCACTTATTACCCCATTATTATTATTATTATTATCCATAACCCCCTAATTATCACCCATCACTACCCTACTAAATGTCCAACGGACACTTTTGGGATGGGCTAGCTATAAAAAGGAGGGGAAGACAAGAAGAAAGGGGTAACTCACTCATACACACATGGGAGGACTCTCCCAAGCACTCCTCCTACACACTTGAAGACTACTATCACTCTCCCACAACTACTCTCCCAAAGAGGCCTCATTCCACAATATACCAAGAAGGCTCCACCACTCATCCATACACATGGAAGGACTCTTCCACACCATTCCATCACTCTTCTTTCTATTATTATTACTATATTATTAGAAACACAACACTTTGTGTAGAGAATAGCCCTACAAGTATGTACAAAGACACCTACAAAATACATAGTGGAGTTAGGCTTGGCACCGCTCAAAAAGGCCCGTGGTTTTCCTTTCGGTTTCCACGTACAAAAAGCATTGAGTTATATTTTTCTACTTATTTTTCTATGAGCCGCATGTGAAAGGTGTATCCTCCAGCTAAAGGTTGTGTTGGACCTCCTTGGGCCCGAAAACCCAAAAACCAACACTGGCGCCGTCTGTGGGGATCGTGACAAAAGGTCACGTTTGCCTCTTTATCTGAGCAATTTCGGAGAGCGTCCGGTCACTACGGACGGAAGATTGAGAAGGTTCACGGAGAGTCGTGGACCAAGAAGAGAACTAGAGGAGAATCAAGTAAAGAAGATAGCGTGTCGAGGTCTACAAGAGGTAACCATTATCATCTAAATTAAGTGTAGTATTTAAATTAAAGTACTCAAAGTTGTTGGCAAAGAGTAGTCGGTCCATCACACTGAGGGACTCGGCCGGGGGAATCAAGAAATCGGGACGCCGAATAAATGGTTCCCCCACCACGACTTTAACGGTAATCACCGTGGTCACAATTATTTTTTCTCCGCTTTTGCTCTTGATCATGTGAAAGAATCTGCTGGCATTAAGGAGATAAGCAGCGTGGTATCAAACGAGGCTTGTGAAGGGTCGGACCGCGGTTGGAAAAGCCGTGTACCTAGTGAAACAGTCATCAACTTGGCGTCCTCTTAGCATATTTTGCTTGGAAATTTTCCAAAGTTAATTCGCATATGCGCCTGCATCTGATTTCCACAATCACAATTTCCTTTCTACCTTTCCAATGGCTTCTCTGCATCCGATGGACAATCCATTATTCCTTTACACAACAAAGGAGCAAATTCCAGGCGTATGTCACGAGATTATACAAGGAGATAATACATTCAGTTCCAAAAAAAAAAAAAAATGCCAAAATATATGCAGAGGAGAAAAATGCCAGAATATTGGTGAACCAACATGAGATCACCACGTAACGAAGACAAAGTAATCGATGAATCTTACATCACAAAAGAGAAGTCTCCATGCTACCAGAAATCTACAATCTTCTTGTAATTGTAATAAGCAGGAGGAAGAAGAGGATGCTCTCGCCGACTCCCATGTACTCATCAATTTCATCTAGATGAAAAGGTACAGTAGATACAGCCTCTCGCCGAGTCCACTGGAGAGGAAAGAAGAGAAAAACCTCACTCGCGATAGAAGACCGAGTTCTCTAACTCGCTGCATACCTAAGCGTCCGTGGATGTTCGGCCGAGTCCACAACTAAAGCCATCAACTCCGGCGACCTCCGCATACATGACTCTGTCGAGACCAAGGCCACCAATCCCGGCAGCCACCGTCGATCGACCGCAAGTTATAGCGTCATCGGCGAGTGACCGCCCCGCCCGGACAATCCCGCCATAGCGGACTCTTTCTTCGCATAGGGATGCTCCGTAGAATCTACCGAGCCCATGGGGCAGTCGGCTGATCATTTTTCTTGGTTCTCTGGCGGAGCTCAGTCAGCGATCCCAACGAAGCAGCTTTCCGACAAATCGGTATAGTAGAGTCGGTGACGGTGGACTCGGCACAAAATTTGATCAGTTGAGCTCGTCTTCGAGTTCCTCTGGTATGCTTGCATGAATGGCTAACAAGATTATTAGGACCATACAAATGGAGTTTTTGCATTTTGAAGAGTGCAATTGAAACCGACGGATTCAAGCCAAGTCTTGCAGCATTTAGGCTTGGTAAAAATTGTCGACAAGAGGGCAGTCGACAAGCGTATGGTCGGCGAAGTCAGAGTCGGCTGTTCACTTGAAGAGAATACGTGGCACATTTAAGGAAAATAGCAAGCTTCAGAACCCGGAATTAAAAATTGCAAATCTTCCTCTTCATGATCACGCTGTTTTTGCGTAAATAAAGAAGGAATGACCAGACTGCTCCCACCACAGATTGCATGTGACCGACCATTCCAGACCGCAATCCTCATTCGACTAACCAAAGTTCGCAAGAAGTCGGCAGCCGGCGATGATGGACTCGGCGCAATGGTCTGATTAACAAGCCGGCGACCGTCCGCCTCATGATAACGATGATTAGCCTCCGGCTGTGCGTTTGCACCGATGTTCTCCTTGCCGACTCCCGTAGTCGGCTGAAGCCCCCATGAGTACGTAATAGTCGGGAAAACACGCGGTTAAGCAGTAAAGAAGTCGGCGAAAGGAAGCCAGCGAGAGGGTAGTCGACAAAGGAAAAGCAAGAAGAGACCGTGTCGGCGATAGTTCGCTTGATCGCTTCCTCCTTGTTACTCTGACCTCTCCTCGCTCGTTCATCAAATCCTTAGCAAGACTGAGGGACTCGGCCACCGTGCGGCCTGTCGTGGAATCGGAGTGGCAATCAAGGTGCCAACCATCATATGGTCGGTTGCGGAGTCAAGTCGGAGTCGGCATCAGTGGCGATTAAATTCAGAGTAGTCGGCTACTTAAGGAGGCCGCACTAGCACTCGGCGTCCCACTCGGCAATTAGAAGTCACGCCGCATCCGGTAGATACGTGACAAGCCTGGGTGGAGGAGAGAGCAAATACGACAACCATGAATCTATGATCTCATACAGAAGCCTCAAATCCTGTTAGTTCTCACCAACTATGGACTCGGATGGCGACTCGGCTCTGGGCAAACACTCCGTTAGCAAAGGACCGGAAACGGGCTCTAATCCCGCCGTCATTTCCGCGATACCCACGGCGACGTTGATAAGGTTGATCGAATCAGGAGCAGGTCTGATCAGGCATCTGCTTCTTAGCCGCCGTAGAGTACGGGAGGCCTTCATTTGGACTGACAAGATTGATTCCGCCGCGCTAAGGATCACCGATTGCCCCTCAAGTTCTTCCCGGGTTAATATCACGGGCAAGATCTTCGAGATATCCGAGGACTTGAGCCGGATGATTCTCGATCGAATACTGTAAGATGGACAACAAAGAAAATATGGAAGTTTCCAGAATCATCACGCCAAGGCCTGCTTGGCTGCTTACACATGGAAAATTTTCTTATTAGCATTGGGTTCAACTCGCGTACGTGGCAATATTCAAGTAGGAAAATATATTTGATAAGGCACATATTGTTGAACCCTTCATTCGGGAATTTGGAGAAGGTGTCAGTATTGAGCAGTGAGCACACTATAACATGCCAAGTTTGGGTAAAAGAGCTGCTGAGCAGCTTTCACATCCCATCATCGAGTTTGGCATTGTGCCACCTTGATAAAAATCGGAGAAGCTAAAATGATTGAACGGCCGTCGACACTCCTCCAGCGCCCTGATTACCGAGTCAAATATGATCAGCTGTGAGACAGTCGGCCAAGAAGGCTAGTCGGGGTCGTGCGTGGTTGGCGAGTCGCACCTATGCCCGATCCCCGCCATTTACCCTTTCATTTGATCAAGCTCGGTTATGAGCACTCGTCCAGTCGACACCGACTTAGACTCAAACAAAATGACAAATTAGTCAAGGGGCGGTGTTGCACTTCATGTATTTATACCTGTCACGTGCTGCAAGGAAAGCGGGAGTGCGCGCCTACGTCTCCATGAAATTATGCTGCCATGCAAAGATCCCAATTAGAATATGGTCAAGATAGTTGGCGAGCGAAGCAAACTGACAAGGCCGCATGACCAAAAGCTCACGTAACTCTCATCTCATTCTGTAATTACAAAGGACAAGGCCAAGGTGGACGGCGAGCGTATGACCAGTCAGAATGAGTCGGCCGCCGAATCGGAACCCGAGGCGGGGTAAAAATCCATTGAAATACAAGAGAGCTCCGTCCACACTAGTAACTTGTTGGCAAGACACTTGATGCGAGAAAGTCGGCAAGTGTGTGGGCAGCCATGGAGTCGGGTCCGGATATTGCTCTCTTTCCGACTCTTCCCCAGTCAAACTCGAATGTGGTATCGGAAAAATGCAAGGACTCGGCAGTCCATCTGGCGGACATGGAGAAAGTAGGGAAAAGTTACCATCTCTAAGGAAATGTACATGGAGAAGTGGATGTGAATGTACATGAGATAAGGCCAGAAGAACTCAAAATATGGAAAGGAAAAATCTCAGGATACAGGAAAATGATACAGGCTGTGAGAGTAAGTGCATGAATATACGTGGCTATCAATGGGGAGAGGCAAATTGAGAGAGAAGAAGCTGTTGAAGAGACTTTTGTGCATAATCTCGCCGACGCATGTACCATTCCAAGGCATACTCGCATGCATGCTGACTGATGATGATGG